TGAGTCTGGAGAAGAAGATTTTTGAAATATTGGATAATTTTCCCTTTGGGGCCCCGCCCTGGCCCCAGGGGTGGGGGTAGGAATCCCAATTTTACAATTTTGAAGCCTCATCTACCAAGGATGATTCTGACCAAGTTTGAAAAAAATCCATCCTCTGGTTCTTGAGAAGAAGTTGAAAATGTAAAAGTTTACGCACGACGCATGACGCACGACGGACGACGGACGACGACGGACGAAAAGCGATTGGAATAGGTCACTTGAGCAAAGCTCAGGTGACCTAAAAAACCACAACTACCACAATTTTCACAAAGAACAATTCGAGGCTTTTTGAATTTTTCTCTTTAAGATATCATGGTTTATATAACAAAGCAACACTAAATTTCATTTGCGCAACATATTTTCGCAAAACACGGCTTATTAGGAAGACCCACTCTCCATTACCAACAACAAATGTTAAAATGTTGTCAATGATCCGTTAAAAGCAATTTTGATAACAAGAGTTCTTATAAATATTTAAGATTTTGACGGGAAAACTTTGCTGACCTTTCGTAGGGTTTAAATGTCGGTTTTTTCCCGAATATGTTACAAATCTGTCTGTTTCCGACATGAACATGTATGATGTCTGTGGCAAATGTCAGATGCTGACAGACTAACAACACATGGTTTCAACAAAAGCAGGTAGATGAAGATTATGAGAAAGGTTGAAGGTGGCAATCATGACCTCGTTGGGAAATATTCTATTTCATTGCGCGATGTTTGAAGGTCGATGTTCTTGATTATACTCATTAGTATGTCTTGCTGTTTCAAGGATACTACACCGGTTCTTATTTCAAAGAACTTAACATTATTTGGATTTGGCTAAGCATCGGTTCTCATTTAAAGAACGTGACATTACTTGGACTTGACCTAGATTTACACGGCAGCAGTCGTCAATGGTGACACACGTGTTCACCCTTCCAGAAAACCTATTTTTTTCTCTCTTTGTACCTTTTCAAAATCACCGTGTAATGAATCCTTCCCTACATTATATTTTGGATTTTGAGTTCGAATCATGGTTTTGTTTACGCTCATTATTTCTGTGTCATCACTACGGAAAATTCAACTTTATTCGTCAACCGAACACGATATCAAGTAATTAATATACAAAGGGACATTGAGACAAAGTTTATAAATATATTTAGCAGACATTGCCATTACCTAGAGTACACGACCGAATGAAGTTTTTTTTTTTTTTTTTTTTAAATAAAAGAATTCGCTCTAATGTGAGTTTGAAAGACTCATTGCCTGCGTATTTGTGACAAGCTGCATCCGACTTCTTAGGATTAGTGGATGGTGGTACCTTGTCGTTTTATTCTGGGACCGATCAAATCTAGACTCCGAGCTTCCTTGGTGTTTATTTAGAGGAAAGTTACGTGTAAATTGTGATGCTTGTATGTCCTAGGATTTAAGGATAAATGATATCATACAGATGCCGATAATGCGGCCTCTACAAACGAAAGTAACCTGTGTACCCGTCATATGTTGTACCCTAGGGCTTCATGCGTTTATATAAGTCAGCCGCTTTCGTCAGACATCCGGATTGGTGGTTATATGCGTATCTGGCACGGAGCCAAATACACAATTTGAGGTAGGGTATACATGTTATGTATGCTTCCCATTCATGAGTTTACGTAAACTTTGATATTAAGTACGTCACATGATATATGTTATGTACTGGTAGTCATATCGCGAAACTACATGCGTCCCATTCATGAGTTTATGTAAACCTTGATATTTAGTACGTTACATGATATATGTTATGTATTGGTAGTCATATCGCGAAACTACATGCGTCCCATTCATGAGTTTACGTAAACTTTGATTTTACTTACGTCACATGATACAACCTAGGATATCTATTTACAAAGTTGTTATTTAGTAAAGGCATTGTCATGCTTTAGTTTTATAAAAAGTCTTTACTCTGACGTCATCTTCATGTTTACAGAATCACGGATAACAGTATGGTTTATTACATAAAGGGATATATTATGATTGAAAATATAAATTAGTTTTTCTCCCATTTGTTCTTGTTGTATAAAATCAGTGGAAGTAGTCGTATATCATCGCATGGTGGCTCATCTGCAGGTCCGTCAGAAGGCATTATAATGCCGAAAACAAATCGGTATAATAGGTGCTATCGGTTATGATACCTTACAAAAGTGTGTTCCGTGTCTATGACAAACGCCTTAGAGTGAAGCATTAACACCATTTTTCTATGACAAGCTCTATCTTGAATGAGCTATATAGATTAACTTTTATTGTAATCGGGATTATTTCGACATTCTGATAGCAAAATTTCTCTTCCTTGGTAGTAACATCCATATTTTCCTACCTACGTTGTTTACATATGTCACATTTGATTCGATATTCAATAGTTTGTTCTGAATATAACGACTTTCACGATGTATGTCGGCTGCTGACGGACAAACTGACAACACAGGGTTTCCAAAGAGGCAGGTTGCTGAAGAGTAAGGACACGTTTCATGATCGTCATCGTTATCTCATAGGAAATATGCTATTTCTTTGTGTGATATGAAGGTCACAGTTTCTTCTTCTAAGTATATCTTGTGGTTTTGTTGTCACTATAGAAATTCCCGATGTGAGAACGTGACACTTGGATTTGACCTAGATGTATTGTATAACATGAAATGTTTGTTGTGTATAAACACTCGTGGTTGTCGTGGTAGCTATTGAACCCCGAAAATAAATACAACTAATTTGAATTAAACGCGTGTCTACTGTTTGTTAATACAGCATATCCACGAAAGTCTGTACCATGAAACGATGTATATGGCTTCAAACGACGAAGGTAAATGTCCACAAACATTGTGTGTTATACAGTATATGATAGGTGTAGTCGATAAAGCAGAATACCCGCAACTTTCGGGAACACCTGGTCTTATTCTCCGTGCATTTGAACAAGCACCATCACAGTTGACAAAGTTCTAGAGATTTCATCATAGTTGATCTATGACTATGTGGCCGTGCAGGTGGGTCAGTAATTCAAATTAGGGCTTTACGACAAGATCTTTGTTTTATTGTAAAAGAAATCGTTTTCTGGAAAAATTGAATCTCTACTATTGCATAAGCTCACTGCTGTACCGTACCAGGTGAGTTACAATTTTAACAATACAAAATAGATTTTATACTGACATTTTTTATTATCAAAATATTTATTTACACAAAAGTTTCACATAAAAGTAATTTGCTACAAAATGAGGAACACATGGGTCGAAAATTAATGTTAAAATGACATTTTGTGTGTTATGGTGAATGCTTTTAAAAATGAATATATGGGTTTAATTCACATGATGACACTTAACACCTTTAACAGACACTGTTTGATATTGGACTGGTTGTCTAAAGTAGACAAATCTCTAGTCTTGTACTACAGGTACAGTCAAGACAATGAACTACTGTGACAGTCAATCTCTTCCTTTCTGCATCTATAAATAGTTTGTTTCAAACACCTATTGTCCTTCTAATGTCCAAGTTTCCATTTTTTTTAAATACTCAAACATTAAGGCTTATCAACATTACATGAAACAAATCTCTTTCATTGAATTATTGGACTTCATTTCATCTATTGGTAGTTTCGTTTTCCAATTAAATACATTATTTATTCTCAATCATTTCTGTTTTAGCCCTACAAGCATTTTTTTTATTACCTGTACTTTCATCATTTGTTGAGATGTTTTAACATATTGAACAGAATTTATTGCGGTATAAGAAATATACTGTAATGGTGCTTTTTTCTTAAAATTTAGACAACTAAAAAGCCAAGGGAAACACAAGGACATTACAGCTTGACAGAAAAGTACAACGACACGACAGTGACATGTTATACATGTCCTTAACACTTCTACAGTATGGTCATCGACAACTTCCCATCAGTCCATTATAGTTTGCTGTTCACTAATGGCCAAATTCATTTTTTTCCCTGTAATGCTGTTGTTATTGTTTGTAGACATATTGACATCAGTCACACATCCATTGTTTCACTTCTACTGCAAATCCATGTCTAATTTTGTAGGACTTTTTTCATCTTTTTGCCTGTAAAAGATGAAAATACAATATTTGAAAATAAATTAACTTTTTTTAGGAAATAAATAAACGAATTCCTGCTATGACAACCTTTTTAAATGCTGCATGTATTCTACTTGCTGACTAAACAGGATATCTAAGTTAGCAACTTATCAAAATAAAAAAGAAAAATCAATATATGAAAAAATGAATGAATTTGAATGGGAATTTAACACTGTAAAGAGAGAAAACTCAGGCATTTTATTTTTACATTTGGCATATTTGAATATATACTTGGTCATAACCTGGTCCTGAACTTTTGCATCAGTTGCTCACAGTTTAGGAATAAACGTGAAAAGCTAAGCAAAGTTACCTCTCTTTCCTGTTCAAAAGTCACATATACATTTTATAAGTTTACAATAATACCACTTAATGTAACAAAAGAAATACATTACACATAATGACAAATTATCTGTGTGGTACCAAATAATATCTGTGATGTATGAGGTATCCTGTTCAGAAAATAATGTACAAGTTAAAATTAATATGCCGCCAGAGCAGGGTTTCAAACATACACTCAATGATGTACAAAGTCATCAGTCTGCTACCTGGTGTGGAACTCTCTAACATAAAAATCTATCAGGGCTATTCCAGAAATATATGGGGAACAGGGCTGGCAATTATTGTTCAACCACCACCAACACAGTTATTCTTACTTTGATTTCATTATACATGTACAACTAAAGTGAAGGATTGTTTTAGACTCAATCGTCTAAGTGCCGCTCCACCATCACCCCCATTATTCTTTCTTGGTATAAAAGTAATGAATAATGTGTATAATAAATCAATTTCGAAGGTCCTCTGTATTCTTCCCTTAACATGTTTAACTTTCTTCAGTTGTATAAAGAACTCAAAGTAGCAAGTTTTTTAAGACGTTCTATTATACAAAATAAAAATTGCAAAAATCAACAACATTTATGTTACCTTTTTGCTTTTGTTTCTTTTTTCCATGTCAGCAATTTCCTTTTCAAGTTCAACACAGGCTCTCTCAATTTCATAGTTCTTACTGACGAGCCCAACCCAGCTGTTAATAAAAACATAGGACATTTTATATAATATGTATCTATGAGTGTTTTCCACCAGTCGGTCATCTCAATCTTGTCCTTACAGGCTCGTGCCTTTGAATTGGTTGTACAGATTCATCTGGTTAATCTCAACATTTTTCTTTTCAAACAGAATTGTCCAAATAAAAGTTTCAGGCCAAATAATTAAACGACATTGTATTTGAAGAATTTGTTTATGGCTGTAAGCTGAAGACAAATAAGACCAATCTGAAAGTCTGTTTGAAACATGATTAAAGATTACATACATATATGAATCATTCTAGACTGATTATGGCAGACTGATCAATCACTGGGTTTATACCATCTACATTTTGTACAATGTGACCTACCTTGCTTCCAGCTCTTTTAGTTCTTTCCCAGCATGGGACTGCTCATTTTTCCTCTGCCAATTAATCTCCTGTATTTTTTTCCTACAAATTAGATTTCACCTTTCACTATAGGAGTCATTGTTATGCTATTGTTTTCAATTCCCCTTACAACAAAATCTCTGCAATGAACTTATAAATTTCCAATAGATTTCATTATCATAGATTAAATATTTTTCACATTTACTTCTGACTAACATCAGTACTAAATACTTAAAATAATATAATGGTTAACCTCTAAGATATTATTTTTTGGCAGTTTCCAAATTATTTAAACATGTCGGAATTTAAAGATATATATGATAAAACACCTTTTATTACTGTGATATAAATCTCATTCACCAAAGCATTTTACACTCAGAAACTATTTTTTTTCATAATTGGCAATTTGAACTGAATTAGTTAATTCAAAATTGATGACAATTTCAAAGGTTTCCAAGAATGCATGTATTGATCATTAAATGGACTGGGGGAGATAACTCTTACAACAAATTATAGGTAGCTATAACCTGAACACATTGTTACCTCAGATCCTGTAAATGTCTCTGAGCAGAGTCTAACATTTGTACAAGAATATTATTGTAGCTCTTCCACGTATGGGATCCAAATTCTGCCATAAGCTCCAAATTCAAAATCCTATTGAACAACAAATTTAAGGTCATGTTTAAATTGTATACCTTATTATTATGATTTTTTTTTTTATTCATTTTATTTTTGAAGATTTTTTAACAGTACATAATACATTTACAATTCATTTTTCCATACAACATTCACACACTCATTCCATTTCTAGTCATTAGCAAAAATTCTAACACTATATTAAATATACATACTTTTTATTTTATGTTCTATTTAGTGGTTAATAGTGTAGCTGCATATAATTATGCTATGTACTGTTTTTAAGAAAGAAAAGATTGAGAGATAGAAGAATTAAAGGAAGAATAGAATCAACATATAGAAAGATAACTTGAATAAGAGGAAGAAGGGGTACTATTGTGATGTTACAATGATTATGAGATTACATCAGAGACTCATGCTAAAAAGGAAAACATCAATGTTTTTCAACTGTTTTTTTTCTTCTATTAATGAAAGAGAGTCCCATCTATCATTGTTTTGTCTTGTCAGAAATTGTCTTTGCAGGTCAAGAACATAGTTTTCAAAAGCACTGGTTATTTTTCGTTCTTTGCAAAAGGGGAGTAACTCTAGATGTCCAAGTTACAACTGAAAGTATTGCAGGAAGTTTGCAAATCAAATAATAAATTGAAAGTATCTCCCATTGACCAATCTATGTATTGTAAACAGTGTAACTTTCATGTTGGCATGGAGCACAAAAATCTTTGAAAGAAGTAAACATTTATGTGATGTTAGGTTGTTCCAGGAATATTATTGGAACATGAATATACAGACATTTTAATACTGCAATCATTATGGAATTCTTGCATTTAGATCACCAATAACTTTAAACTCAGAAAGTTAACATACATATTGAATTTAATTGTTTTAAATATCCATGAAGGTATGAATACAAGTTGATGACATCCACATCTATATTAATTTGTGTTCATATGACAGGAGTGTTTATAAGTTTTGTTCAATATCTTTTAATTTTCAACAACAAAGTAACGCTCCAAGCTTCTCACAAATTGGTATAAACATATACAGTGATTTTGTAGGAATATTTCAGACAAGTCCAGAACATAAGTTTTAAATGTTGATGAATCCAATAATTGAGATAGTGTGGCACACAGGAAAAACATGAGCCTAGGTCTCGACTATCTTTGTCCCAATACACTGATAAACAAAATTCATTAGAATCATTATACAATGTAGTTTTTATTTCTTTCATTGTTGGACAATTTATTTGGAAATCATGGACATGTTCAGTACAAACCTGAGACTCTGATGTTCCAACTGAGCTTGAGAATTTTCCACACATTCTGTCCAGGCGGACACATCAGTCATCTTTCCCGCTGAAGGCTGTGGTAATTCATACCTTGGAGAAAAGTTAGAAAATCTCATCTTTCCCTCATTATCAACTTTAATATTTGCAAAAAAATCGGCTGACAATCAATTTACCAAAAGAAATTAGGAGTCCAACCTAATGTTATTCAAAAACTTAATTTTGTTAAAAACACTTGAATGCATAAAATCTGCAACTTAGAATTCTCGATCTTGACCTAAAAATAGAAGACCAAATTTCTTACCTCTTCATGCTTAACATATCCATAGGCAGTCGGGATTGAAGTCTTTCAAACTCATTCTTCATTATTTCAGTCTGAAATAATATAATTTACGATGTATTGCAACAAAATAATCAAATATTTTTTATCATTGCAATGTCTTGATGATTTTTTTTTATATTTAACAGAATATTTCTGATATATATCCATGTTTTTTATCTTTAAAGTTCAAGTTATTGATTTTTGATAATTGTCGGTATATAAATCATTTTAATACTCATTTTGTATACATTTCTTAAGAATACCTCAAAATTGGACAAATTTGTAGTTGGTAAATATTCCAAGTAATTCTTTGTTGGTCTGTATCTTCTTGTTTCTTCTTCCACTAAAGCCATAGCCTGAAGAATTAGAGATTGTAGGAATTAAGACTTTATTGAAACATAAAAGTTAAATTAAGGTTAGGTTTTTTTTAACCAGTTGGTTTAATTTCTTTTATTGTTTGCTTCTCATAAAATAATTTTCACAGGTACTGGAGCATCGGCAAATCTGGTTATAAGCAGGTTTGGCTATATAGTCAAAACGACTATACATATATGGATGAATGTTAACAAATGATTCAATTATTGTCACATTTTCCTCATGCAGATTAAAACAAGCCATTTGGATTGATATGTCTCGCCTGTGCCCAGCTTTGACCATCAATGCACATATCAGAGAAACGAACTTAAACGCAAAAACTTAATGTTGATGGAGATGCTGACAAAGTCAGTGGAACATGAAAGGTAGGCCGCATCCAGCATTTGATGCATGGGTTGAGATGTACTACCATAAATACATCTATGGTCCAAGTTTGGTTGGTCTAGCACTTATACTTTCAGCGAACCTTAGTTAAACACAAAAACTTAATATTAATGTGGACAAACAGGTGAGTAGGAAAAAATCTAGCAACTCAATTACCGGTGACCATGACCTTGCTGATTTTAATTATTGCAATTTTTTTTTATAATAGCATCCCTTTATCCACTGCATCCGTGGTTAGACAGGAATATGAAGATTTATGCAGAAAAGCACCACATATTTCACCCCTCTCTGCACATGAACAACTTTCACTGTATGTTATCATTCTTGCTCAAAGGTACATTATGTAGGTTACATTTGTTAGGCTGCCACAAAGGGGGCGTAAAACGTTCACAAATGACAAGACAATTCACCCAACAATTCAAATACAGATAAATAAACTACATGTGTTTGTAGATGTAATTCACTAGATTTTTCAAAACTTTCAATTACCTTTGAAGGCAATACTACACAATACTCCTAGTCAGATTTAGATCATTTACATGTACTAACACTGTCTATATTTTCAGCCAAGTCTACTGAAAATTATTAACTTAATCATTCATCTCAAGTTTTCATTTATGTGTTAATGGTGCGACAGATTTTAATTGTACTTTAAAAATCATGGTCGCCTTCTAGCTTCGCGCTAGATGGAATTTCCCTTTAGCTCAGTGGAAGAGCGTCCGACTAGGAAGTCTGGAATCATATTACTCTCTTTCCTGTTATAATGGGTTTTAGATGTAGTTTTGGGCATGCTTGTTCTTGGTCGTTTTGGGTTCAGTGTTCTCCCCAGGCTGTTTTTGCAGCATGGCACCATGCTCCTATAATTTCTTGCCATGCTGCTATCCTAGATCTTCTCTGCTATATATTCATAGTAAATCTAAAGTTACCATGCTGCTTTGATTTTACATAGAGTGCTGCTTTAACAGAAATATTGAAATACCATGCTTCTTTCAAAACATTCTGGGGAGAACACTGGGGTTAATCGTCAAGCCCTTCCATAAGGAGTCTGAAATTCTGGCAGTAATAATTATCACATTAAAATAACCCTATATGCTCAATACACTTAACAAGAATTCCACGGGAGTGGATGTGTCATCTGCACAGTACTTTTAGTAAGAAAAGTGTTTTGGCTCGAGTTATCACATAAACAGATATGCCAAAACACAGAAAGGTAAAACTCGACAAAAAAACCCAGTACTATATATGTTGAACATTATTGCTTCTTGCATTACCATGCAATATTTGAAAGGAATCTATAAAAACAATGCCCTTATTTGGTAATAAAAGGGGCATAACTCCATCAAAAATGCATGTAAACTTCTGAAATGCAAGCTTTTCTGAGCTGTATTGGTATGCAATATGTGTACCAAGTTTGAGTTCAATCAACCCAAGATAACTCAAGTTATGTATCTGAATCTGTGGGTATACAGTGCAGGGTCCCTCGGGACATGTATTGCGTCGGGGGAGGAGTGCTAGGTAATCTAGAAGTTCTGAAGGGTGAGGGTTTCTTTGAAACTCTCCACCATGGTACTATGCGTGGAGATGTCGGTCAGATGGTTCCCGTCAATAATGGTCTTATTGAAGAAAGAGTTTTAAATTGTTCTGTTTCAACATTCTGGACTTTGAAACAGTTATTGTAGGTGTAATTTTCAACAGTATTATTATACTGATAGTCACTAAAATCCCACGGACGAATTTTACGTTTGTTTCCGGCAACTAGTGTCAGGAACTCATGCGAAGGCAAGGCTGGCACAACACCCTCGACCACTTTATAGAACATAACCAGGCGAAGCATACGACGTCGTTCTGCTAGTGGGGACAGGCCCGCGTCTCTTAACATTTTGGTCACACATCCTTCCTCTCGAGAACCGGAGATGAACCTTGCTGCCATCCTTTGCACTTGTTCAAGTCTATTTATGTCATGCTGTACGTAGGTGTCAAAGATGACTGATCCGTACTCAAGGATGGACCTAACAAGGCAGATGTTAGCTGCGATAACGTAGCTTTCTGACGACGAGATTTTTTTTTATATATTGCGTCGTCAGAGCTACGAAGCGGTCCTATGCCAACTAATGGAGCAAAATCAAAAGTGTTAATCTGTAAGATTGCATATAATTCACGCCTCATATGAGTATAATGTTATCAAAATATTGCATAATTGTTGAAAAAACGAAACCTTACCCATGCAAAAACTATTTTACGAAATTAACAAACTCCGTCTTGGATTTTTTTTTAGAAACGACCGCCATGACAGATCACGCGTCATGTTATCTCAATTATCCTTTCTATATATGGCCTGCATGGCCAAATATAGTATTACTACTGATGCCGCCATGTTTACTGCAATTTCCATATTGGGTCATGACACCCATATTTGGACGTCTGACCTATATCGGAAGAGAGACGAACTTTCCAACATGGCAGTCAATTCAGATTTCGATTACGCTTGCTTTGTTAACTTGATAATTTAACGACATTTTAGGCTGAGGTAAACTTCAAGTTGTGCAGGATATCAACAGAAATAGTTGATACTAAAACCTTGTTTATGGATGCGGACCAATGTTCTGTCAATTAATTCTAAAATCGCCCCGGTGTGATTCACACCGGGCTTGCTCCATTAAAAGGCATGGAATCGATTTAATACCCGGCCGGGTATTAATATTAGTACTAGGCAGAGGTAGGCTGTTCTACGACATTCGGCAGGGCAACCTTTGAGGTTTCTGGTGATAAAGTTATTGCATGGAAACCGTGTTTCGGTCGACGCATTCGACAAAGTAATACATATATGTCGCCTCGCGTTGCAGGCGACAGAAAAACAATCATATTATAGTGACATATTATTGACAGAATTTCAAAACCCTGTGCCAACAACAGTACATAGCATCATGGGCAGAATGGCTACTTCTTTGTTATGAAATAATAATACATTGTGATGTAAAACACAGTATTTAAGAGAGTGTTTTCTTATTCATTTTTTTTCTGGTCCACTTACAGCTTCTCTGACACCGGTTTCGTCATAGCCTTGGTCGTAATATGGTAGAGCATCAACAACGACTTCGCCGGCCATGTTGCTTTGTTTTCCGGAAGTGTCTCTCTGTGTAAATTCAAAAACATTTTCCGGATTGCATTATCCGGATTTTCCTCAGGTAATGTGTAATGTTTTCATTTGCAATTGATTTTTAATGAAAAGTCACCAGATTTATTCATTGTTCGGGATACATATCTTTCGAATATATAACTTTCACAATAAATTCTGATTCAGAAACAGGTTTTTATTTTTATTTTATTTTTACTTTTCTCACTGGATGAATCATAATCTAAAATTCTGATAATTACGTATACGTCATTTGAAGATAAAGTATTTTGTATAATAAAGGATCAACATACATCTATGGAGTTCTCAGCCCTTTCAGGAGACGTAAAATCCAAACGTGTGTCTTTCAGAAGCCTTTCATCCCTATTAAACATTAGTAGACTTTACCATGCATTGATCTGGCTGAGTCGTCTTCGGTCTTCAGTGGTGAAAGGGTTAGTGCTAAACCATCTAGATAACATCCTTTTCAAATTATAAAACATTTGGCACAATTAGAATCGACATGCCCGTTTGACGTCATCAGCCTCTCTGTAGACACATTAATCATTGGAAAGGATATACCAAACATGCTAATTTTTCACGATGAGATGTATTTATTTGGAACACTCTAAACATGATTGTTTAACCTTTGATGTTTAATAACTATTGATTAGTTCTAAATGGACAAAATAGAAATATGGTGAAGTAAAAGCTTACTTCATCGACTTTCTTAGTAACAATAGATTCTTACTTCGAATGTCTAGTGATTTTTAAAGTTACAAAGTAGTTAGCTCTGCTGATTGAATGTATAGGTCCCCGGGATTGGCTGTATATAATCTTGTTGCTGGAATTTACACAACACATTGAAGAGTTTTTTTCTATAAGTAATAAAACCAATAATAACCAAAGAACTCAGGAGAGAGTAAAGACGACTATTACAGTTAACTCTGCTGATTGAATGTAGTTCCCCGAGATTGGTTGTATATAATCTTCTTGCTGGAATCTTTTCTGGTACAGTTTGAATGAAATGCTTATAGTAAAAGTTACTTGTTGTAGACAGACTTTTGTAACGTTATAAAGGGTTTGATAGACACTTTCCCCTTTTTTTTGTATTCTACATATGTTCCAGATTGATTTTTTCATTCTTCCGACCTTTTGCACCGCCGATCAGTCCTTTATTGACGAATAGGCCATATGTTGCCCAAATATAAATAAAATTACATTGTTTGTACAAACTAACTTTCTTTTTATTTCTGATGATTATTCTAGTATAGTAGTTGTTTTAAATCACAAAGTGCTTAACTCCGCTGACAATTTATTTGATTTTTTTTCTGACACGATTTGGATGAAAAAGTATTTAAGAATAGATCATCTATTGCAGCTAAAAGTTATCAATTTGTAATGCTATACAGGGTTGTATAGCCACATTTACCTTTTGTTATATATGTACTTAAAACACAGCTGTGATGTCATCCATTGTTATTTGCGTACTATATCCAACATAATTCAAAGGCATCACCTATAGCCGTCCAATAAGTTACCTATAGCTGTCCAATAAGTACACAAAAGAATCCACTTATTGGACAGCTACATGTACAAGTACCTTATTGGACGGCTACAGGTAGCATATTGGACGGCTACAGGTAAGCTTTTGAATGAGCCTATAATTATGCTATACAACGGAACACAAATATTTATTAAATGTAACACAGAATTTAAATATCAACATTCTTAAAGTATATCCGGTATTTATATTCCCATAGTCAGATTTCCCATGCACTATATTTTATTTAGAAGGTTTGAATCACGGAACACTCTTTTTACATGAAACATCCATATGGATACATACATATCCAAACACTTTACTGAGAGACACATTTCCAGCATTACTTGTAATTTCCTTTGAACTCGTCATTTTGGCAATAACACTTTGGAGTTGAGGGCAGCTGAAATCTTGCGTTTTCCCCACACTTCATGTGCACAATTTTGTTTTCGTATCATCCCTTGAGATATTCGTGTATAATCCCAGATATATAGCTGTGATATATCTTTGATGAAAATATTTTGGAGGTGGTGTTGAAATCTTGAATTTTCTCACTTTAATTGTGTGGTTTAATTCTCATTCTCTCAGATATAATCCCAGAAATATACTGTAAACGCTTTCTTCAATAAATCAAGCACATTATTTGAATTTAATCCATTTCAATCCTGAATGCTGATGCTCAAAATGTTCTGCACAGGGACTGTGTTGGGAACGCACCTTCACTGTTGGACGACATTAATCAAATGAGACCAAGACAAATCCAGAACGCCGATCTGCGCGCAGTGGAATCGCAAGCATCGCCGAAGCAACGCAGTGGCATCGCCAGTGAACGCGGTGGGATCGCATAGAACGCCGAGCGACGGCGCGCACTTTGAGCATGTCCATTCTGATAAGAGCGCAGTGGGAGCGCCGTGAGGTCGCCGTAGCAGCGCAGTTAGGTCTCCTAAAAACTCCACAGGATCGCCGCGGACGCGCACACAGGTCGCAGTGCGAACGCAATGGTTATCGGAGGCGCTTGCACGGCGATCGTACGGCGTTCTCTGAGATGACACTGCGTCTCTACCGCGCTTATACGCGCCGTGACAACTCGATGCACGCAGTGGAAGCGCCATGAGAGCGCCATGAGAGCGCCATGAGAGCGCAGACAATCGCCAACTAGAACACCGTAGGAACGCGGTAGAACGCCATGGAGCTCCGTAGAAAGCCAAGGTCGCCATGACAGGGGCTTAAGATATAAGCCTCAAACGGTCTATTATGTAAAATATTGGACAGTCTAGATCTGAGGCGCGTAATATCCTTTACATATATTTTCGAAATGCTTTAGACATAGTTTTTTTTACTTTGACCTTTAGTAACACAGAGGAGTCGTCACTGTTAACTTTGTTTGGTTTACGTCATCTACAAACGAAAGTTTCAAAAAGGCGCTTCGTTACTCCGTCTCACTAGTAATTACTTTATGTGAAAAGGCATCCTCGATATATCAATTTTGCTATGACATATTCCAGGGGTGCAGAGAGCGTAAGTGAGCGTAACCCCTGGATATCGAGGATGATTCCAGGGGTACAGAGAGCGAAACTGAGCGTAACCCCTGGATATCAAGGATGATTCCAGGGGTACAGAGAGCGAAACTGAGCGTTACCCTTGGATATCGAGGACGGTGAAAAGGTGGCTGACTCTGTTGATGGGCTCTTTCAGTCCGTATCAGTGCGAGGTTGGCCGTAGCTATGTTGCTTGAATTCATTCTAGCAGGGGTTATAAGAATACTGTTTCATGTACAATCAATCAATAACTATGCACAAACAATGTACTAATAAACGTATCGCAAAGTTTCAGCACCGACTGGTTCCTTTGTTCAGCTATGACCTAAAACGTTGCGACACGTTTAACATGTATATTGTTTGTGTATAAAGTAAAACTTTGATATCAATAGAAATTGCTTTTGATGGGAGGAAGTTAGCTGAAATCGAATTTCGACGTCGAGAGCTTTCCCCCCTTCTCGTAAATACATGTACCATCATTTAGGTGGCATTTTAAGATCTAATATTAGGCTCACTTTCGCTCTATGAAATCAAATTATTTCAAGGGTGGTTATGACCTGGAAACCACTTAACCAATCAGAATCCCAAAATCAATTATTGGAAAATATAAATGAATCATATTCGTGACAAGACCTAGCAATTGCCATTATGTATAAATTGTCACATTATTTTTTAAATCGAACCATTTAAGGGCCTTTATTATGAGATAACCCTTCAACAACAAGGTTATCTGTTATTGCTCTTTGTGTGATATGAAGGTCGATGTGTGATATGAAGGTCGGTGTGTGATATGAAGGTCGATGTGCGATATGAAGGTCGATGTTATCTGTTATTGCTCTTTGTGCGACATGAAGTTCGATGTGTGTTATGAAGGTCGTTGTGTGATATGAAGGTCGATGTGCGATATGAAGGTCGATGTTATCTGTTATAGCTCTTTGTGTGACATGAAGGTCGATGTGTGATATGAAGGTCAATGTGTGATATGAAGGTCGATGTAAGGTATGAAGGTCGGTGTGGGATATGGAGGTCGATGAGTGATATGAAGGTCGATGTGTGATATGAAGGTCAATGTTATCTGTTATTGCTCTTTGTGTGATATGAAGGTCGATGTGCGATATGAAGGTCGATGTTATCTGTTATTGCTCTCTGTGTGATATGAAGGTCGATGTGGGATATGAAGGTCGATGTTGTCTGTTATTGCTCTTTGTGTGATATGAAGGTCGATGTGGGATATGAAGGTCGATGTTGTCTGTTATTGCTCTTTGTGTGATATGAATGTCGATTTTTCTGTTATTGCTCTTTGTGTGACATGAAGGTCGATGTGTGATATGAAGGTCGGGGTGTGATATGAAGGTCGATGTGTTATATGAAGGTCGATGTGTGATATGAAGGCCGGTGTTTGATATGAAGGTCGATGTGTGATTTGAAGGTCGATGTGTGATATGAAGGCCGATGTGTGATATGAAGGTCGGTGTGGGATATGGAGGTCGATGAGTGATATGAAGGTCGATGTGTGAGATGAAGGTCGATGTTATCTGTTATTGCTCTTTGTGCGACATGAAGTTCGATGTGTGTTATGAAGGTCGTTGTGTGATATGAAGGTCGATGTGCGATATGAAGGTCGATGTTATCTGTTATAGCTCTTTGTGTGACATGAAGGTCGATGTGTGATATGAAGGGCGATGTTATCTGTTATTGCTCTTTGTGTGATATGAAGGTCGATGTGTGATATGAAGGTCGATGTTATCTGTTATTGCTCTTTGTGTGATATGAATGTCGATTTTTCTGTTATTGCTCTTTGTGTGATATGAAGGTCGATGCTATCTGTTATTGTTACACCTCAAGTGAATTTCTAGCTATTTGAATCGTTGGGAGAAAATTAAACAAAAATCTCTGTCACCCTCCGAAAATACATTGGTTTTAAGGGGCGCGGGTGATATTGCC